GCCTGTAGTCCCAGCTACTCGGGAGGCTGAGGCAGGAGAATGGCGTGAACCCGGGAGGCGGAGCTCGCAGTGAGCTGAGATCGCGCCACTGCACTCCAGCCTGGGCGACAGAGCCAGACTCCATCTCAAACAAACAAAAAACTCATAAAACATCGTGGGCGCCCGGGCTCCACCACTGCGGCTCTGCTGCCACCCAGGCCTGGACGGCACGGGGCCAGCGTTCCCATCTGCGCTCAGAACCGTCCCACCATCGCACACAGTGTCCCGGACACAGAGGCTGAGAACACCCAAATGTCCACTGTAGGAGGACGGAGCAAGTGGATCAGCCCCGGGATGATGCCCAGGTGGGCAGGACGTACCCCACCACGTGGCCATGGCAGGCAGTGTGACCGGCCCGCGTTCTGGATGCTGGGCATGGCTGGGGATGGGGCCTGGCGGGGCTGGGCGGGGCCGGGGAATAGGGCCTGGCGGGGCTGGGCAGAGCATGCTGTGGTGTGTTCACGATCACGTGCCGAGCCCCCATCGTGTGTTCTGCGTTCCTTCCTACATGTGGGCTACACTTCACAATAAACAAAACAGACTTTTATTTTATGTTATTTAATATTTTATTTAGAGATGGAGTCTCACTCTATCGCCCAGGCTGGAGTGCAGTGGCGCGATCTCGGCTCACTGCAACCTCCACCTCCCGGGTTCAAGTGATTCTCCTGCCTCAGCCTCCCGAGCAGCTGGGATTACAGGCGCCGGCCACCACCACACCCGGCTAATTTTTGTATTTTCAGTAGAGACGGGTTTTCACCACGTTGGCCAGACTGGTCTCAAACTCCTGAGCTCAGTTGGTCCGTCCACCTCAGCCTCCCGAAGTGCTGGAATGACAGGCGTGAGCCACCGTGCCCAGCCCAGATTTTCTTTTAAAGCAGAGCTTCAGATGCGTGAGATGAGAAAGTTCTGCAGGTGGACGGTGGTGGCGGCTCTGCAGCCACGTGAATGCACTTAATGTCACTGAATGTACACAGGAAAGTGGTTAAAATGGGAAATTTCATGTTATGTGTATTTCACGTTTTTAAACGCAGGTGAAGCTGGGTGCGGTGGCTCACGCCTGTCATCCCAGCACGTTGGGAGGCTGAGGGGGGTGGTTTGCTTGAGCCCTGGAGTTTGAGACCAGCCTGGGCAATACAGCAAGACCCCATCTCTACCCAAATACATAAATAAAAGTAGCTGGGTATGGTGGCGTGCCTGAGGTCCCAGCCACTCGGGAGGCTGGGGTGGGAGCATGGCTGGAGCCTGGGAGGTTGAGGCTGCAGTGAGCCCCGATTTTGCCACTGCCCTTCAGCCTGGGGGACAGAGTGAGAACCTGTCAATCAGTCCATACTTCAATAAGCAGCGTGTCCTTATTATTCTCTTTAAGTTTTACCGAATCGAGACCCACCTTTCCAGGTGGGAAGCTGGTGATGTCAGCCTCTCCCCTCCCCAGTCAGTGTTGCTGGTCTTCGCCCCTGCTCAGGTCCTGCTGGTTCTGCCCTCCAGGAGGGCAGGGTCTGCCCAGGGTCTCCTCTCCCACCTCCCACCGACCTGGGCCACTCCGGCTTCCCAGGGGCCTCCCTGCCTCCACACTGTGCCCACAGACAACGCCCAGCCCCGCAGCACAGCACAGCCCTAGGATCCTACAGAAACATGGGGCGGGCCAGGCCACTTCTTTGTGGACACCACCGTGGCCCCCGGCCTTGAAAGTCAAAGCCAGGGCCTACCACACCCTCCCAGCTTCCACCCTCCAAGTGACCCAGACCCTGCCCCTTGGGCCTGAGGCTGCTTCCTGAGCACCTAGTAGCCTGCCCGGGAGCCCCCTCAGCACCCCTGCTCCCTGCCTGGCCCCCTCAGTGCCCCTGCTCTGTGCCTGGACCCCTCAGCGCCCCTGCTCTGTGCTTGGCCCCCAGCCACTGCTCCCTGCCGGGCACCTGGCCCCTGCCCTTCTGCCCCCGTCACTTCACTGTGGCCTTGACACTGAGTCCCAGGGCAGTGACCGCCTGGATCTCCTTTCAGGCCATGGCCGGTGCACGATGGACACTTCACGGTGCCTGCCCCGGCCGTTCCAGGGCCAGCCGTGCACACATGGTGCTCACAGCCCATGCGACTGGGGAGCCCCGGGGAGCCCCGAGTCTCTCGGGCCAGAGCTGCAGGGACCTGCGGCAGGTGTAGCCGGACAAGTCTCTGCCATGCCGGGCTCGGACATGGCCATGCTGACACTCATCTCACACAATCGCTGGCTTCCTGTTCGTACAACAGAAGAAAAACAGGATGTCCAGGGGCGGCTTCTGTCTGAACGAAGAAGACAAGCGAGCCCTGTGAGCTCCGGGGCTCAGCAGTGAGAGGACAGGGTGCCTGGGAGGGACCTGGGGGACACACCCCGCTCAGTACACAGCACCCCACGCACCCCAACTCAGGGATACCATGCAGGGGCATGGGGTCCAAGAAGGGTGGGTGGGGCTCGGAGCTGACACTGAGGGACCTCCCAGACCCGCTGTCCGGCCCCAGAAGCCCCAGCCAGCCCTCCCTGAGGTCGCCTCCTCCTGCGGTGGCTTCTGGAGGCCTTTGGTCCCCAGCGTGGACGTTCGGCCGGAGCTCCGCGGGTGGCCTCTGGCCCCCACCTCCACACCCAGACCCAAGTTCACAGAGTTCACCAAGTTCCTCAGCGGCGCACCGATGCCTGGGACCTGCAGACAGGCAGGTCTGGGACGCTGAGACAGATGGCCCTGGCCAGGAGGCTGACCCCTGACTCCGGACCAGCCTCCTGGAAGCGTGTGGGTTGGGGCAGAGTGGGGCAGTTGTGTATCAGGAGGACACATAAAAGAAACTCAAGCTCAAGAATAAAAGTCCCGGCCGGGCGCGGTGGCTCAAGCCTGTAATCCCAGCACTTTGGGAGGCCGAGACGGGCGGATCACGAGGTCAGGAGATCGAGACCATCCTGGCTAAT